TTAGGATTGACTGATTTGATCTTCTTGCAGTCCAAGGGACTCTCAAGAGTCTTCTCCAGCACCATAGTTCAAAAGAATCTATTCTTCGGCGCTCGGCCTTCCTTATAGTCCAACTCTCGCAGCCATACATGACTACTGAAAGACTATTGAAAGAGGTAGTCAATCTTTAAAGGTACAATTGTGGTCTTAGGGTACTGTCTCAGTGATGATCTGGTTCTTATAGATCCACATGGGTCAATGCAGGGGTAATTCATGAGGACAACCAGATGGATTTCACCTAGAGAACTGGTGTTGAGTAGTGATGGGCATGAACTGGGAAAATGTGGTATGGTTCATGGTATGCCAGCTTCATGAACCATGAAACATCACAAATAAACCAGTTTCATTTGTGAGGTTTGTGACATGGTAGAACACCCCTCAGCATGATAGAGACACCAAACTCACAAGGGATATCCGGCTAACCCTCCTCTACCTACATGCCAAGGTTGGTGAGGATTGAATTTATGGGGTTCGAGTTATGGCTCCCCCAAAGAAGGTGTCCCCAGGAAAGCATTTTCTGGGGAAATGACAAGCACAGGTTCATGAGGGTCAGGATTGTATAGAATGGATCCTGTGCAAATTAAAGATGCCAAACATGCAAGAGATCTCCAGATGACTCTCCTCTACTTGCCCTCCAAGTTTGATGAGGATTGGATTTATGGGGTCCAAGTTACAGCCCCCCAAAGAAGGTGCTCCTATGGAGGGAAAAACAGCAAAAAAGCAAGGACAACAGAAGCCATTTTAACTTCACGTTCCAGGATGTCTGGCTCGAGGTCAGTGATTATACTGTCGTGGTTGTCAGGGACATCGAGGTCTTTCTTGTATAGTTCTTCTGTGTATTCTTGCCATCTTTTCCTAATCTCTTCTGCTTCTGTTAGGTCCCTACCGTTTTTGTCCTTTATCATGGCCAGCTTTGCATGGAACGCTCCCTTGATTTCTCCAATTTTCTTGAAGAGATCTCTAGTCCTTCCCATTCTATTGTTTTCCTCTATTACTTTGCATTGTTCATTCAGGAAGGCCTCCTTATCTCTCCTTGCTGTTCTCTGGAAATCTGCATTCAGTTGGGTAAATCTTTCCTTTTCGCCTTTGCCTTTCGCTTTCCTTCTCTCCTCTGCTATTTGTAAAGCCTCATCAGACAGCCACTTTGCTTTCTTGCATTTCTTTTTCTTTGGGATGGTGGTGATTGCTGCCTTCTGTACAACTTCATCATGGATGCAATCAAATTACAGTCCCCTCAAACCTCAAGATCCCATTCACCCATGCTACTACCTAGAAGAGTATCCCCATCTGGTACATGAACATAACATTTTTACAACCCTGATGCAAAACCTTACATATAACTGTATTAAAACACATCTTGTTCATATCTGCTCATTTTCCCCATGTATCCAAGTCTGATTGTATTTTATCTCTACCATCCGGAGTGGTCACTATCCCCCCCCCCAAGCAATTTGGTGTCACCTGCAAATATAACAAGTAGTCCCGTCACACCCTCATCTAACTTGTTGACAAAAATATTTAAAAGCACTCAGCCCAAAACAGAGCCCTGCAGCACCCTAACAGATACTACCCTCCAATCAGACAACAAACATTTAGTTACCACTTTTGGGGTGTGATTATCTAACCCATTCCTTATCCACCTAATCATCCTAAAATCTAATTTACAGCCCGCCAACTTCATGGAGAACTTTATCAAATGCCTTACTAAAATCCAGTCATACAATAGCCACTGCATCCTCACAATCCACCAAACCTGACCCCACTCAAAAAAGGAAATTAGATTTGTCTGACAGGATCTATGAGGGACAAATCCATGTTGACTACTTCTTATCACCAAGTTATCCTCCAGATGTTTACAAATTAGTCTTTTAAAAATTAAAGGTTTTCACTGGGACAGAAGTTAAACCCACCAGCCTATCATTCCCCAGATCATCCTTCCTCACCTTTTTAAAAATCAGGACAATATTCATCCTTCTCCAACCGTCTGGCACACCACCTGTCCTCCAAGAGGCCTTGAAGATAATGGACAACAGCTCTGCCGACTTGCCAGCTAGCTCTTTAAGCACTCTCTGTCCTGCAAGCCCACCCAGTCAGGTCTCCTCTGGATCAGTGCCCCCAGGTCTAGAAAGTATCGATAGGTGCTGGCAACCAAGCGCTGGAACTGAGGGCAAGAAACTGGAGGCAAGGAGCGGGAAACTACAGGCAAGGAACTAGAGCTGGCGCACAGCCTTGCATCCAGTAGACTGGTTGATCCAGCAAGGCAACTTTCCCAATCCTTGGCTTAAACAGTTTGGGAAGTAATCAGGATCAGTTGCTCTGCTGGCCGGTGTCGGGCCCCCATGGCTGCCCTGTGCTTTAGCCAGGTAGGGAGGAAATAGTCTAGGGCTCCCAGGTTCCTACCTTTTGCCGGCAGGGGGGAGGAAGCTTCTCTCCTGGGATCTTCCAGTACGCGTGCACCGCAATGTCATCACTTGGAAGTGACACCATCGAGCTAGGCCCATCCCCAGAGGGACGCTCTAGCATTCGGCTAGAAACTCTATGATGCCATAGAGTTTTCAGGCCGAATGCTAGAGAGTCCTATTGAGATATATGTCTAAGTGATAAAGGTAGCAAGCAGTTACTAGATCAGTTTGATCAGTTTGACAGTCCTAGCTGTCATGCTAGTGATTAAGTAATTACAGCCAGGTGTTATACTAGCAGGTGTTCTCTATCAGGCATTGTTAGAGTAAGTAATTAATTCACCTTGTTAGTGATTGGCTGAGTTTAGTATATTAGCTATCAGCTTGATAAGCTAGGTGGGGACTCTCTCAAGCTAAGGCAACAGCATGCTGTATGATAGCCTGTATATCTCTGTGTATATATTCACCATTATATTTATATAGACTTTCTGTGTACCTTCATCACCAGTTGGTCTCCAGCTTCTTATTTACTACACCCAATAAGTCCCCCTGGGGATGTGCCTGGAATGATGACATCACCCATTGCGCCAGGCATGTTGGTCTGATCCAGGCACATTGGGGGTGGGGTTACCCCGCTGGCTGGATCTGGGCTGGCGGATTGGGGCCCCCTAAAGCGGGCAACCCCCCCCCAAGTGGATCTGGCAACCCTAAAAGAGCCACTGTTGAGACAGGAGAGAGGAAAATGGCTGCTGTGGAGGCGGGACTGAGAAAAACCCAACCTTCCAACCCACACAACAACCATCCAGGTTTTTTGACGTTTCCCCAAAGTTCACAGCAAAGCAGGTTTGGAAAAGATCAGAGAAAAGCCAGGGGAAACCCAGGAGGTGCACAAATGAGCTACAATATTGGGGGAAAGAAACTCTCTTCCCAACAGCATTGAACCCCAGCCAAATAACCTGAGCAGAAAAGGTCACACTTCCCACCCCCCAGACCTGCTTTATTCCATCCAAGTGCATTACTGCACTACCTGACAGTAAAGGTGCACATTTCCCTGACCTGCAAAGAGCCAGTTTGGTGTAGTGGTTAAGTGTGCAGACTCTAATCTGGGAGAACCGGGTTTGATTCCCCACTACTCCACTTGCAGCTGCTGGATGACCTTGGGCAAGTCATACCTCTAACAAGAGCTGTCCTTGAAAAGGCAGTTCTGGAAAGAGTTCTCTTAGACCCTCCTACCTCACAGGGTGTCTGTTGTGGGGAGGGGAAGGGAAAGGAGTTTGTAAGCCGCTCTGTGACTCCGAGTGAAGGGCACTGTATAAATCCAATCTCTTCTTCTTCTCCTCTTCTTCTTCATGCCCATATTGGTGCCATTTTCCATGCATTTTCCCCTGCCACGCCACCGGAGGACTTAAAAAATGGTAACTGCTACAGCATTACAGCACCATAGTTCAGTAATGATCAGATGCCACTTTACTTCCACTTCAAATTTCAATAGAGCTTCTAATGTTCTATAACGCATGTGTAAAGGAAAGAACCCAAAAAAGGGCAGAGGGTCACGGCAGAGGCCGTAACGACCATGGCCTTAAGAAGAAGAAGAAGAAGATAAGAGATTGGATTTTACCCCGCCCTTCACTACCCAAGGGAGTCTAAGAGCGGCTACAAACTCCTTTCCCTTCCCCTCCCCACAACAGACACCCTGTGAGGTAGGTGGGGCTGAGAGAGCTCTGACAGAAACTGCTCTTTTTCAAGAACAGCTGTGCCAGAAGTATGGCTTGCCCAAGGTCATCTAGCAGGTGCAAGCGGAGGAGTGGGGAATCAAACCCAGTTCTCCCAGATTAGAGTCCGCGCACTTAACTATTACACCAAACTGGCTCTCAAGAGCCAGTGTAGATTCACTGTGCTGCATGTGTGGAAGAATAATGGGTGCAAAAAATGGGAGAAAAGTGCAACAAAAAACTCCACAGGTGGAAGCACCCTGGCTAGCATGCATGCCTTTGCTTTTGCCGCAGCAATGGAAGCAATGCAGAGAATCCTTGCTGTGAGGAAGCAGCCTTGGAGACCCCACTAGGACTTGTGGGCAGCATAGCTGGGGTAGCCCTGGCCCAATTCTGGCCTCAAACAGGCAAAGCTGCCATCTGCAATAGGAAGGAATCTTTTATATCTGCAGCTTGTATGCCATTTTGAGAACACTAATAGAAAAAAGCAAGTAAGTGATATATAAAGAAACAGAGCGTGTTTAGACTCCAGGCTTGGCTTGCCAAACTCCAGGTGGAGCCTGGAGATCCCCCAGAATTACTCCAGATGACAGAGATCCCTTGGAGAAAAATGGCAGCTCTGAAGGGTGGACTCTGTGGCATTATACTTCACTGAGGTCCCTCCCCTTCCCAAATGCTGTCCTCCCCAGGTCCAACTCACAGTTGGCAGCCCTAGACTCTTTGCCAAAATGACAAGATGCAGAGAACGATTTGAGCAATGAAGAACCAAAGCCTGAGATACACATTCAATGTTCTTATTCTCCTGCTTCCTTCCACATTCCCAAGATCCTTCTCTCGCATTGCTTCTTACCAGAGGTTCGATTGTGAAGATGTTGTTGTTGAAGAGCATGGAGTCCTCGAACACTGCTGCCTGGCGGTTCCGAAAGGTCCGGGTGACGATGGAGAGATGCTCGCGAAGGGTGGGATTTATGATGCATTCCTCCAGAAACTGGTCCACCACGCCCTCTTCCTCAACCTGAAGTGAACGGCAGAGCCTAGAGCCAGGGCGAGAGAGGAGTCAGTGGGCAACCTGCATCCAAAGGCTGTTGGTTGCAAGCAGGGGAAGGGGAAAGAGGCGGAATGTTCTGATCTGAGCTATTACCCAACCAGGCGAATAAGGCTCAGATTTGCTTACAGGGCCTCGTGGAAGGGAATACAGAGGCCTCCCCCTCTAACACAAGCACGCAATATACGGACCTGCGACCACCAGCTCCTTCATGGCTTTGGGGAAGGGTCCAATTAGGAAATATATTAATTTGCTTTGCTTCGTTTATATCCCACCTTTCTTCCCAGTGGGGACCCCAAGCAGCTGACATTTGCTCTCCTCTTCACCAACTTATCCTCACAACAGCCTTGTGAGGCAGGTTAGGCTGAGTGTGACTGGCCCAAGGTCACCCAGCAAGCCTCCATGGCACACTGGGGGTTCCAATCTGGGTCTCCCAGATCATCGTTCAGCACTCTAACCATTACACCCACTCTGGAAACTCCAACCCAGCTTGCATTTAACCTGTGACCTGATGCTCGCCTGCAAAATATTTTTTTTTGGGGGGGGGGCCAAATCAGCTCCTGGGTGCATAGGAAGTTTCATCACTCCCTCCTTTCCACCTCATGCACTTCTGCTAACGAAAAAGGACTGGGGGGGCAGTGCCACATGTCTCCCCCATCTCCATAGCTGCTGTCTCTTTTCAGTCTCATTGATAATGCATGAGAATGAAATGGCCACATTCATACACATTTAACTACTCCCTGATTTGAAAGGGGAGGAATTGTTACTCCTGTGAACTAGGGGTTGCTGCACTAATGGGGAACATCAGAAAAAATAAACTTCGGATCAACTGTCCATATGCCTCCTTTCAGCAATGAGGAACAGCGAAGTAAGCTGAGCAAATCTAGCTTGGCATTCGGTGGAAAAATCTGCAAGGCAGCTCCAGAGTTTTTCACATCTATACAGCTGTCAGACTCACAGCAAACAATGAAATACACTCTTGCAGGAAGGTTTAATTTTATTGAAGCCATGAAGTACTTAGAACAGATTCTCTGTTCAGAATAACACAAGGTGCTTGAGACAGGTATAATAAAGCAAGTTCAAAATAACATGGGCCAATAGATATGGTTCCCGCGCCCGCCTTGAGGACTCATCGCATGCCCAAACCCTGAGAAAGCAATGGTTGTAGCTGATTAAACATTTTATTCTCACACTACTGTTCATTATAGACTAAGCAAAGAGCCTCCAAACGCGAACCACCTGTAGCCTTGGCAGATAAGGTTCCTTCAAAGCACTGCTAGCGTACATGGAAAGGAATGCAGCTGAAGATGAGCGCATGAGGGTGAGGGGGGACATGCGCACAAGAGTCTAAGCCAGTCCAGGGAAGGAGAGGGGGGGGATGGACACATCTCATATGCATGGAAAAGACATATTGGCAGCTTGCTAACAACAGCAGCTTTGGAGGATTTTTTCGGGGGTAAAAAGTGTGGACATCAGAGGTGCCATACTGGATCAGTTCTAACCTAGCATCCTGTCTTGAACTGTGGCTCACCAGTTGCCCCACAGGGGACAACAAACAGGGCACAGCGGTCAACTCAAGACATCGCCTGATGTTACCTCCTAGCAGTGGGATTCAGAATGTGGAGGTTCCTTTTACTCACTATGCTAGTTAGCCATGGATGAACCTCTCCTTCATGAATCTAATTCACTCTTAAAGCTGTCTTACACTCATGGCCCTCAGTATGTCCACTGTCAGTGAATCCCAAAATTAATTACTCTTTGAATGAAGAAGTGCTAGATATAAGTCCAGTCGCACGTTAGAGACCAACAAGATTTTGTGGGTATGAGCTCTCAAGAGTTAAAGCTGCCTTCGTCAGAATAAAGGTTTCCTTTTTGTCTCTCCTGAACCAATTTGCCCATCAGCTTCACTGGATCCCCCACCACCACCAAATTTCAGTATTATGGGAATTTGATTAAAAGTGAGAATGGGATAAAAGTTCCTGAGCATTCTCTTTTGCCGGGCAGTGAAGAAAAGAGAAGCTCATGGCAAAGTAAAAATGAACAACTCGTGCAGTTTTACAAGCATGGGATGCAGTGTTCCCTCTAAGCTGAGTTAGTCACAGTTTTTTAGCCTCCGGCTCACACATTTTTGCCTTAGCTCAGGAAGGATGGCTCCAGAGCAAACTGATTTACGCAGCTGCCAAATCACTCACTCACAACTTTAATGCCAGTAGCTCACAAAGTGGCATTTTTGCTCACAAGACTCCACAGCTTAGAGGGAGCATGGCTCCGGAGTTGTCGCTTTCCCTTGCATGGCAAATGGCACACCACTGCCCCACCAGAACCTCCTTTGTCAAGTTGCCAAGGTGCATAATTAGAGATGTGTGGATTTTGCAGCCTCACTGAGGTCTTCGAAAAGCCCATCTGATTTATTTTCCCTCTTGGATCCTTCAAAGTGAAGAATGACTCTCTAGAGACTTCACTGGGTATGAAGAGCAGGAAGACACTTGGATTTATTGCTGAGTGAACTACACTTTCGTCAAACTTTTGGCCTGACTGCCCACCTGTTATTTCATTTTCATGCTAAGATCAGAATGTCTTTAAGAAACAGTATGCTCTCCGTTCACCTTCTCACTAGGGGACTTGATCCAAGGATCCGTTTCTTTTAGCCCTCGCAGTACCCACAATGGAACTGCTCTGTGCTTGGGGTTTGGAGCAGGGAGGAAATTGAAGACTGAGACTCTGGGAACATGAAGTGAAGGGGCAGAAATGGGACTCAGTGGGAATAGAAGAGCTGTAGTGTTTGCAGCTGGTGCAGCAACCAGCCAGACCTGTATTTTTCTTTCAGTGAGCTTGGAAATAATTGCACTCTCACTGTATTTCTGTCAGAGGCCTGTAATGCCAGAATTTACAACTTAGAGACATTTTCTTATATTTTACAGTGTTAAGGAACTGGTAATTTGTGGACCTTAGTATATTCTACAGCAGGGCTTAGAACTGTTGTACATTTTTAAAAAATTTACCCAGAACCAGGCACCGCTGAAACCAGCACCACCTTCAAAAACTCACATTTGTTTTTTCTGTTCCTCCTCGGCTTGCGTCATAAAGAACTTCCACTGGAAATGCGCAATGATGTTGCTACGATTGTGAATAGCTACAGACCTCTGGCTTGCTAAAGTGATGTAGGTCTTCTCAATGGTTAAGGAGCTCTTCTCCAGTCTTACATTAACGTCTGCAGCTGCGCCATAAATGCAGACGTGGATATCCTCCCCTAGGTGAGAGAGAGCCACATGGAAGATTAATTCAGCTGTGACGGGCCTGGCTTTTCTAAGATGACAGGCACAAAATGTGGCTGCTTTCTATGGGTTCCTCGTCTTGTGAAGGACTCAGTAAGATTCAGGAACAAATGCAAATAGGACAGATCTCACACCTCCTGCTTCAGCTGAAGTAAAAAAGAATGGAACAACGTTATGGGGAGGAACAACCCTGCAGAACAGATGCTGCACAGCTCCTTGTGCTTGGCAAGCCAGGTGGCTGCCTGGTGGTACCTCTTGACTCCTCATTCACCTTACTGCAGACTCGGCCTCTGTGCTCCTCGTCTTGTGAAGGAGAGAGACTCAGTAAGATTCAGGAACAAATGCAAATAGGACAGATCTCACACCAGACTAGGTGTGAAGTAAAAAAGAATGGAACAACGTTATGGGGAGGAACAACCCTGCAGAACAGATGCTGCACAGCTCCTTGTGCTTGGCAAGCCAGGTGGCTGCCTGGTGGTACCTCTTGACTCCTCATTCACCTTACAGCAGACTCGGCCTCTGTGGAATCCAAAGGTAATGTCACACAAAGCACACACACCCCGCAAGGCCTCACTCATGCTCAGACCTAGCAGCAAGACAGAGGGAGTGGCACTGCACGAGGGCTGAGGCATCCTTGACGAGTACCCAGCCCAATATGACACAATGTCCCACTGAGCCAGCTCTTCACATTGCTGAAGACATGTGAAATCTCCTTCCTCACTGGGACGAGTCCCTGTTGTGCTCTTATTGCTCCTGTGAAAGCAGAGGCATCAAACAGTCCACGCAGAGCTACTCTGTGTGGTACATCCCCTTGTACCCACCCCACCCCCACCTGCCAGAATGACCTTTGCTGGCTTTTTAAAAATTGATTAGAAGTATAAATGGGACAGTTTTCTTTCCAGTAGAGGAGACCAAAAGCTGCTTAAAAAACGTTCCTCCCTTCTCCTCTTTTTTATTCACACAGCTATGCCATGAGGTAGGCGATGGCCCCAAGATCACCCAAGCAAGCTTCCACAGCAGACTGGGGATTCAAACCTGGGTCCTTCAGATCCTAGTCTGATACTCAAACCACAACACTATTTACCACTGATTTTTATTTTATTTTTTAAGTTGGGGGAAAGCCTGCCGGTGGCATGAGGGTGGGGTAGGGATAGTGAGCAGAAGGGGATACATGGGGAAAATGGGGCTAGGTGTGGGTGGGAAGGTTTGGAAATCCATGCCTTTCTAGTCAAATTTTCCAGAACGAATGGAGCAAACCGATTTGGGAAATGTCAGGGCAAACCAGGAAAAACCTTGAAAGACAATGATTGGAAGATGCACTGGGGGGGGGGGGGGGGGTTCTAGTTGGAGAGCCAGAGCAGAGCAAGTCCTCTGTGGAAGCAACTGAACAGATTAGCGTTCTAGTCATTCTGGGAATGTCTTCTGACGGGAAATATTTCTGCCCCTTAGTATTTGTAGAAAGTCTACAACTGCACAGTGAACCAAGACTTTAGGCTTGCCATTCTCTACAGGGGACCTTGTTATTACAAGAGTGGGTTTGGCCATTTGAAAAGAAGTTCCTGAAGGAAGAGACTTCCGGCTGCATTCCTTGTGGAGCTAAGCAAAGCAGAAGGCAGTGTTCCAGAGAGCAGCTGTGCTGCCAAAGGGCATGCTCACCGGGCACAACAGCCAGGCTGCATCCGTTCACTTCAATGGCTTTCTCATGCAAACCCCATGGAGGTGAACACCGGCTGTACAGAACCAGTGCTTGGTGGAGCACAGCATGCTCAGCCGAGATCTTTACATTGCATGACCCTCAGGAAGAAGAAGAATATGCCTTTAAGGGGCAACTAACTCATAGCAACCCCTTCTATGGGGCATTCCAGGCAAAAGACAAGCAGAGGTGGTTTGCCGTTGTCTTCCTTGGTGATCTCCCATCCAAACACTAACTGTGGCTGATGCTGCTTAGCTCCATTACAAGCTAAGGGCTAAGCTAGGCTATTCAAGCTGCTGAGGAGAAAGTGCGGTCACGTTGCAACCAATATATGATGATCCCGGGACCATGGCATTTCCAAGGTAAGAGACAGGCAGAGGTGGTTTGCCATTGCCTTCCTCTGACTTCCCCAGTCATTCTTGGTGGTCTCCCATACAAGTACTGATTACAGCCAGCCCTGCTTAGCTCCCAAGTCATGATGAGCTCAGGCCAAACTGAGCTATTCAGGTTGCTGTCCAGCTAGTCTGTGCTCACCTGTATCATAATGCACTACCAGGTCCTCACAGTGATTGCCCGTCTCTTGTGGCAGAAATTCAACCGTGAACTGTGTGGTCTCCCCAACTCCAAGGGTCCCAGTGGAGGGCTCCACAGAGAAAGGGCTGCAATACAAAGAAGAAGAAATCTGACCATGTCACGGGGCGGGAGTTCCCTACAAGTATGTTGAGCAGCCCTTTTAACACACTGACGACAAGCATCCCTTAATCCTATCACAATAGGAAAAACCTTGATCCATTCTCTATCACCATGGCCAACCTTCTGACCAGTTCTGATCCCCGAGTATGCCACCAAACAAATGAAGCTCGAAAGGAAGAAAAGGCCATGTTTAGTCTTTATTATTTGGAAATCTAAACATTGCATACCGGGAAATTGCACCATGCACAATCCTCTTTCTACTGGTGACCACCATTTTCAGTGAATAGGGCGACATAAATATTTTCCAGCTTCAGTAGACACAACTGGACACATAGAGTTAGGACGAAGGGTATGCATTTGTGTATACCAAAACTGGAAAACACACGCCCTAGTTCAGGGGTGGCCAAACTTGCTTAACGGAAGAGCCACATAGAATAAACGTCAGATATTTGAGAGCCGCAAGACATGAACAAATGTTACACACGTTTTTATTGGAAAATATGCAAATTTGCTTGTTATCAACATTAAATGAGACTGCCAAAAATAAAATGGGGTTAAAAGTGGATATTGATAATGATATTTATTTATCCAGTGATACTTGTAGGCTGGGGGGGGGTCTTTGAGAATACATTTAAAGATAAAGTTGCTTTCTTTCTCTGCTCCCCCCCCCCCACCTCAAGCCTACCCAGGGAGGGGAACACTGGCTGGGGAAGGGAAGACGGATTGGGGAGGCCTGCCTTCCCTTCGCTTCCCCAGCCGCCCTGCAGGGGAGCCACACAATTGCGTGAAGAAGCCACATGTGGCTCCCAAGCCACAGTTTGGCCACCCCTGCCCTAGTTGTAACAAAACGTCTACCACACATGTCAGGAGGATCATGGGTAGTGCACTTTCTCATTACACGAGCGCGGAGAGCTTAATCATAGTGACTGAACATGGGGTATAGCCGAGTAGAAAGACAAGAAGGAAATACTTCTTTTTAACCTACGTGAGGATATAATATTAAGTAATGCTACAACATGGAACACTAACAACTAAAGAATTCAGTACACAATCCAGTCAGCATGGATGTGACTCACTCCTGACTAGCAGCAACTGGTGAGGAATGGACCTGGTGTGATCCAGGCCCCAACTGTAGAACTCTCTAAAGGTAACGGTTCCCTTGCTTGAAAGCCAGTCGAATCCGACTCTAGGGTTGTGGTGCTCATCTCCGTTTCCAAGCCGAAGAGCCAGCGCTGTCTGAAGACATTTCCGTGGTCATGTGGCCGGCATGACTAAACACCAAGGCGCACTGAACGCTGTTACCTTCCCACTGAAGTGGTACCCAAGGATCATTTCGTAGAAAAAGAGGCGCAGGAGCTCATTAGCACAACTTATTAGCCTAATTTATTTGCATATGCCACACCCCCTGACATCACCGGAAGTGTATCAGAAGGCAACACCCACCGCTCAGGCTACATTGGACTGTTTTGGATTGCTAGCTATTGGGGGGGGGACGTACAGATCTGTCCTCGTAGAGGAGGGAGAGCTTGTACCTGAAGGCGGGCTGGGGGGGGGCTCTGCAACTTACCTGGCTGCTGCTTGCTCCTCGTGGCCCGCGGTGTTTGGGGACGGGAGGAACTTCAGCAAGGTTTAATATCATAGAGTCCACCTTTCAAAGCAGCCACTTCGGAGCTTTTGCATGTGCCTGCCCCCTGGGCTCCTTACTGCCGGAGCTCCGCTCCTGTGCGCTCCCGCAGGAAATGACCCCTGGTGGTACCTATTTATCTATTTGCAATTTCTTGCTTTCGAACTGCTAGGTTGGCAGGAGCTGGAACTAGAGACGGGAGCTCACTCCATCATGCGGCGCACTCGGATCTCGAACTACTGAACTACCGACCTTCCACAGCCTGCAGTTCAGCGTCTTAACCACTTGAGCCACCGCAGCTCCATGTAGAACTCTGACACAAGCACTATGTCCAAGCTCCTGGCTAGTGAGTTTTCCACTACTGCCCTGGCTGGAACAGCGAGTCGCTGCTGCCAGCCTGGTCCCCTCATGGGCCTTGCTCCCCACCTCTGATCCCTGCCGCACTGCTGTTATTAGGAGACAGTTTCAGGGGATAGCCATGTTGATATGCAGCAGAACAGCTAAATTCGAGTCCTTCAGTACCTTAGAGTAGGTTTGCCAGCTCCAGGTTGGGAAACAGCCTGAGATTTTGGGGGTCGAGCCTAAGGTGGTATCTCCAGGTTCAACTAACACAGAACACCATGGCAGCTTGCTGACAGGTGGGCGGTGTTTGGGGACGGGAGGAACTTCAGCAAGGTTTAATATCATAGAGTCCACCTTTCAAAGCAGCCACTTTCTCCAGGGGAACTGATCTCTGTCACCTGGAGATCAGTAAAATAGTAAAAAGCCCAGTAGCACCTTTAAGACTAACAAACCTTATTGTAGCATAAGCTTTTTGAGAAACACAGCTCTCTTTGTCAGATGCATGGAGGGTTCTCGCTGATGAAGAGACCTGTATTTCTCGAAAGCTTGTGCTACAATAAAGCTTGTTAGTCTTAAAGGTGCTACTGGGCTTTTTACTGTTTTGCAGCAACAGACTAACACAGCTAACTCCTCTGGATCTATGACTATGGAGATCAGTGGTAATCCCAGGAGATCTCCAGCCACTACCCACATTAGAGAGCAACAAGCTTTTTCAGGGTATGAGCTCTCAAAAAACAAAGCTCCCTTCATCAGATAGGAACAAAAGGAGCTTTGACTCTCAAAAGCTTATCCCCCCCCCCAATCTTGTTTAAGGTGTCACTGGACTCAAATCTATCTCTGTTATTAGGAGAGCGTTCATGGAGTGACTTTTCCCTTGTCATGACCCAGTCTCCCTTAAAAATCCATTGTATGACTGAAGGAAGGGACCAGTAGGGTCCTGCTCTATTGTTACAAAGGTTTGGGGACTTTATCTTTTGGGGGAACATTGGTGCTTCCGAGGCCCTTTCCCAGTTCTGCAGACCCTGAGAGATGGCTTCTGCTGCCCGTTACTTGCCTCCTCCCAGACTAGGCCTGGCGAATGAGAACCCTTATTGCCATTGTTTCAAGACGATACCGACTGAGTGGGAATAAAGAGCTAATTTTTTCAGGGTTTCAGAATCTCTTTCTCACCAGCAGTACAACTGTGAATTGCATGCACTGTTACTTTTCATTATTCTAGCACCAGGATTGCTTCTTAATAGCTCTTATTAATAGGTCCTCGTTCGGTGGGGCAAGCTTGCTAGCACCCCTACTTTGGCTGGTCACAAGAGCATCTTAGATTGGGCACTGCTGTCCTTCCTCCAGCCCTCGAAAGCCACTAGTGCCAATGATGTTAGCTAACCAAAGAACACCCATTGGCTGATGCCACATTCGCCACCTAACAATACTCAATCAATCACTTTATTACAACAGTCAGCGACCAGCAGTACAGTTTGATTAAGAAATGCAAAAGCCAGCAACCAGCAATACAGTTAGGTTGAATCTTTTTTAAAAAAGATAAAAAGAGATAAAATTAAGTCTTAAAAACATACAAAGTCATGCCAAATAACTACAAAGTCATGCTGCCAAAAGGGATTTTTGATGCTTGTAAACCTGAGTACAGAATTTAGCCACCTGTCGAGTAGTCTGGTGGTTTCTATCTGACAGAAGATAATCAAGCTTGATTTTATTTGATCTCCCAGGAAATCTTTCTAGCAGTGGGCTAATACTTTCCAATTGGACCTTTGTATAGTTAGGACAATTTAAAAAAATGTCTTCTATAGAGTCAATTTCACACAGAGAGCAAGAACAGAGCCTTAAGGGGTAAGGAATTGCTTTAAACCTCCTTTCCAACACTGCTGAAGGTAAAGTCACACTTCTGGCCAGTGTGAATGCCCTTCTGGTGTTGTTAGATTCCAGAAAACATAAATAAGCAGCTGGGGCTGCAGTGTATCTGTTTTTTTTCTGAGGAAATGAACTCTGGAGAACTTGAGATGTCCATTTGTCTTTTGGTATCTGTCACTCTTTGCTTGATGAGTGAATAGATTTTAGAACCGATAATTAGCCGTCTCTGCAACCCAAGAAATATAATTGGTGTTCTATAAGGGTTAGGATCTGACAGGGGACTCAGAAAGCACTGAGCAGAGGTAACCTCACTGCAGAATCCTTTATCTGAGGACGAGGGTCCTCAAAAGCTCTTTGGCCATGATCCTACAGAGAGGAATGATGTGTTTTCTCTAAAGGGAAATGTTCATAACTTCTTCCCATAGCACCTTTTAACTATCCTTTTTATACTAACAAACGTTTATGCGTGCAGGGAATTCTAAAAGACATTTGGGACTGCAAGTGGAGAAATTACGGAGGACATCTTGGATTCATTTCTTTTCCACCCAAGCTTTAACTAGCAATTTTATCTTTTTAATGGTTTTATGGTTTGCTTCTGGTCTGAGGTCTGTTTTATGGATTTTTAATGCTATATTTATGTCCCTGACTTTTTTGTTTTAATATTGTCAATGTGTAATTATTTTATTTGTAGCTGACTTCAGAAGGATTCTAGACAGGTAGCATAATCTCTTAAATTAATGAACAAATAATATTACATTCAGGGCTATGCTTTCATGTCGTATGAAAAAAAGAAAAGAAAGATACTTCTTTTCAAACATGGTGCTCAGCTGGGTAAGATGGAAAGGGGGATAACAGTCTGTTCCATTGCCAATCAAATCTAAGCCCCACGTGTGATAGCAGAATTGCACCCAGCAAAGTTCCTGCTCACATAGAGCTCCAACATACATACATATGCATTGTTTTAAAAGAAAACCAAATTGTATTCCATGTTGTTAATAAAACATTCTCCAGACAGCTTCCACAATACAGCTAAGCAATTTATAAAAACAACACAAAAACATAAAAGGTAACAGCTGATTAAAACCCATTAAAATCAATGATTCCAGTGGACAAAAGTAGAAATACTGTATGGCCAGCGGGTGAAACAGGATGCTGGACTAGACGGACCACTGGTCTGATCTAGCAGGCTCCTTATGCGTTCCAGTGGTTAAGACACTGAACTGCAGGCTGTGGAAGGTCGGTAGTTCAGCAGTTCGAGACCCAAGTGGGCCGCATGACGGAGTGAGCTCCCGTCTCTCGTTCCAGCTCCTGCCAACCTAGCAGTTTGAAAGCAAGAAATTGCAAGTAGATAAATAGGTATCACTTCAGTGGGAAGGTAACAGCGTTCCTTGCGCCTTGGTGTTTAGTCATGCCAGCCACATGATCATGGAAATGTCTTCAGACAGCGCTGGCTTTTCGGCTTTGAAATGGAGATGAGCACTGCGACCCTAGAATCGGATTCGACTGGCTTTCGAGCAAGGGAACCCTGACCTTTACATAATCAGCAAATAGATTTGAAGGGGAACAGGAGTTCCTTCCTGGTCCCTGGCCAAGTAATAACCAGTACTATCAACTGCCTGGAAGCAAACCAGCAGCCAGTGAGGTTCTCTTAAAATTGTTGAGACATTATCCCCATGACTTACAGTCGCAAGTAATTTCACTGCTACCTTTTTGTACCAGTGGAAATTCTGGACAATCTTCAAAGGCAGCTTTATACAGAGTATACTGTCAGTAGTCTAACATAGAAATAAATGCTACAACTTGAGGAAAGGCCACAACTAGCAAACAGCAAAAACTGGCTACAAGGCCCTATGAGGCACGGAGAATACAACACCTTCACAGACAGCTGAATCAAGCAGCACTCCCAAACTGTACATCTGCTCTTGCCATCCAGCACAGGCCAGCTTTGCAAACCTGGATTTGGTCTGATATTGGCCAATAGCACCCCAGCCTTGTCTGGACTGAGTTTCAGTTTATTGTCCCTCATCCAAGAACATTCCTGCGTCCAGAAAACAGTTCAGGACATCCTCTCTCTTGCCTGACTTAATTCAAACTGAAAAGGAGTTGGGTGTTGTCCACGTACTGATGATGCTTCAGTTCTGCAGACCACATCTTCTAGCACTTTCAGGTATGGTGTGGGGCTAGAATGGAACCCTGCAGACCCCATATCGCAAACACCACGGGGCCAAGCAGGTGCCCCCTGCAACACCTTTTGGAACTGGTTGGTCAGACAGTAACACAACTACCAGAGCACAGTGCTCTGTCCTGAGGCCCATCTCAGCCCTCAGTTCAGAAGTCACCCAGTATCAGAAGCCACTGAGAGGTCCAGGAGGAGAATCAATAGGCTCATACTCCCCCCCCTTCCAGTGAAGGTCATTTGTCATGGCAACTAAGACAGTTTCAGTCGAAGACTGGTCCAGATCTCAGAAACAGATAACCCATGTTGTTTTTGTAATTTGCAGTATTTAGCTATGATTCTATGAACTCTGGGCAAAGCACCATGAATACCCCAAAGCATAAATCCAGACTGGAACATTTTTAAAATAAAAAGGACAAAAATGCTACAGACAGACATACATTAAAAGAGCTCAAAACCCATACACAGTATCCCAAGTCCCTGTTCAATGTATGACTGTATGCAGCTTTTGTTTAATGCACAGTCTGCCTCATTTCATATAACCCTTTACCAACTATGTGACTGACCCAAATTCCAGCTCCTCAATGATTAAGCTCAAAAGGGGACATCCAGCAACAGCCTGCACCATAAAAACACTCCTGCTTGTGATCTGCTTCACTTAAACCACTGTTTGATGTTCTGGCACGTAATCTAGGCCATCGCTCACTTCTGTTTCAATATTCATAGCATTTCTGGCCTTGACAGGAAAAACCAGGATCTTACCTCTGCGTAGTGATTCGGTAGCGGGCTTCTCGGTTCCCAATGTTGCGAACCAGCAGTGTTTTCTGTGTGTTGTACTTGACCGGGCAGGTAGAAAAATTCAGTTGGTCAGGGAAGTCCAGAATGCCTCTGGCTCCAATTGCTCGGATAGGCACAATAAATTTTTCCCTTTCGGTAATGCAGGTCACTTCGTGCAAATAATCCTGTGCAGAAAGAACCGGATGTATACAATCTCTTTTTGTCCAGGGATCTGATCTGGGCTAGCAGGTCCGGCACCCTGGAGAAGTATCTTTTTGCCTCTGTAGTCTATTTCTTATACTCGGAAATAAAGCAAATATTACAGAAGCGCTGTAAGCTACTCTTGTTCTCTACTCCAAAGAGTACCTATCCAAGCAACAGCATCTTGAAATTTCTCACTGCTCTGAGAAGTGGGGACCAGATAATCATATATAAGGGAACCAAGAGGAAAGTGAGCATGAGGGGAAAGAGAGGAGGCCATGGGGAAGTCAGGCGGAAAGAGGATCAGGGGTGGAAAGAGTTGCGCATGCAGCCTGACAAGAGGGTAAACTGCCTTTGAGAACAAAGAAAACTGGTTTGCTGAGATTTCTTAGTAGGGATTTCACAGAGAAGGCAAAGAGACCATGGGACAGCACACAAGTGGGGTTGCTAGTCCACCCACAAAGTCACATCAGTCTCACACTGAGGACCAATTTACAAGGTGCAAACTCCTCATGTAACCCCATGAGTCCAGTATAACGGAAGTGCTCTGGGAGTTCCACAGTCAGAATTTAATTTCTAGCCATGTGTGGGCTTGATTTGTGTTAGGACTGCAGTGAACAAGGAGAAGGAGCGTAAGCCTTCTCCCACCAGGACAGTTTCCTGAGCTGAAATGGTCCTTGGGAACCTCTACTGCCCCCACTGGAGGAAACTTACATGTACTGACAGGCTGCAGGCATGCTTCTCAGGTCTGTTTCAGGACTGGAAAATGGCATGAGCAAAGGCTTAAACCCTCTTTAAGCGATCCCAGTCCAAATCATGTCTCCCTTCCCCTGGGAATGAAGTTCCACGCATGGAACCGCCAGCACACAATCTGTCCACAACACAGGACTTTGTAACATGTGAGCTGGCCCTCAAGAGGCTCTGTTCTCCCACCATCTTGCATGGTATCTACAGTCTTAAAACAGCAACTGCTGTTTCTCCAATATAAGAGGCAACACCATTACCTTGTTCTCCTCTGGAGTGAAGAGGATGCGGAACGTAGATGGCATGCCAGGCGCAACTTTGTTGCACACATTATTGGGGCTAATGACTTGGAAGTAGGGCGAACTCTGCAGGACGACTTTCACCAGCCTGGGGATCTACAGAAAACAGAGACACAAGGAAAATTAATGTTATGTATTTACATAATTTATGTCCTGTCTCACTGCTAAACCTCAAAGAACCTTGCATATTTTTTAAAATGTCCTGATAAAAACCCTTCAGATACAAACCACAATACCACATAAGAAGTGCTGAAACTTCAGGTCAGGAAAACAGCACACATGAGGAGACGGGTCTGAAGCGTTTCCCCCCATTGCCCTTTTCCCAACCTGAAGAAACCCTCCAGAGGTGCCACTTGTCCTGTTGGGCAAACTTAAGTGTGTTGATGGTCTACATGTAAGGTTCCCCAACAGGCAAATTGTTAGCCAAATGAGGCCTGTTGCCTGGTGTGCCAATGCCCAGTGATGAACACAGCCAGTGAGATTCCAGAAGCAGACAGAGCTTGAGAGCCAGTTTGGTGTAGTGGTTAAGTGCGCAGACTCTAATCTGGGAGAACCGGGTTTGATTCCCCACTCCTCCATTTGCACCTGGCTGGATGACCTTGGGCAAGCCGTAGTTCTGATACTTGAAAAAGAGCAGTTTCTGACAGAGCTCTCTCAGCCCCACCTACCTCAGAGGATGTCTGTTGTGGGGAGGGGAAGGGAACAGAGTTTGTAAGTCGCTCTGAGACTCCTTTGGGTAGTGAAGGGTAGGGTATAAATCCAGTCTCCTCCTCTTCTTCTTCTTCTTGGTGAGGGAAACATGGTCTCTCTGTGTGTGTGTGTGTGTGTGTGTGTGTGTGTGTGTAAGGTAAAGGTTTCCCTTGCTCGAAAGCCAATCGAATCTGACTCTAGGGGGCGGTGCTCATCTCCGTTTCCAAGCTGAAGAGCCAGGGCTATCCAAAGACTTTTCCCATGGTCATGTGGCTGACATGACTAAATGCCAAGGTGCATGGAACGCTGTTACCTTCCCACCAAAGCAGAACCAATTTATCTACTTGCAATTTCTTGCTTTCAAACTGCTAGGTTGGCAGGAGCTGGGGCCAGAGATGGGACTGTGAGCTACTAGGAACTGCGAGCTACTGACCTTCCGGTCTGCAGCTCAGCGTCCCAACATCTGAGCCACCATGGCCATGTGTGTGTGTGTTGGGGGGGGGCATATACATATATATATATATTTAAATGAATAAACAAAGAAATACGTTTTTCTCTTAATCAGGAGCCATTTGCTGAGAGCTGTGGTTTAGAAATGCCTAAAGAAAGAATTTTACTGAGAGAATCCACTGTGACCTTCCAGAATCAGAATGGGGTAGGTCTCATCTCTTACAGCCTACTCCAGTACCTTTGCCAAGAAAACCCCATGAACAGTAACAAAAGGCTAAAAGAGATGATGCCAGAAGATGAGCCCCTCAGGTTGGAAGGTATCCAATATGCTACTGGGGAAGAGCAGAGGGCAAGTACAAGTAACCCCAGAAAGAGTGAAGCGGCTGGGCCAAAGCCAAAAGGATGCTCAGCTGTGGATGTGTCTGATGGTGAAAGGAATGTCTGATGCGGCAAAGAACAATACTGCATAGGAACCTGGAATGTAAGATTCATGAATCAAGGTAAGTTGGATGTGGTCAAGAATGAGATGGCAAGACTGAACATCGACATCTTGGGAATCAGTGAACTAAAGTGGATGGGAATGGGTGAATTTAACTCAGAAGACCATTATATGTAGTACTGTGGCCAAGAATCCCATAGAAAAAATGGTGTGGCCTTTATAGTCAACAAGAGAGTGCAAAAGGCAGTACTGGGATACAATCTCAAAAATGACAGAATGATTTCTGTCCGAATCCAAGGCAAACCATTCAACATCACAGTAATCCAAGTCTATGCCCAACCACTGATGCAGAAGAAACTGAAGTGGACCGGTTCTTTGAAGACCTAGAACCAACACCAAAAAAAGATGTCCTTATCATCATAGGGGACTGGAATGCTAAAGTAGGAAGTCAAAAGGTAACCGGAATAACGGACAAGTTTGGCATCTTGTGGTCATAGCGAACACCCTCTTCCAACAACCTGGTCATAACGAACACCCTCTGGTCATAGCGAACACCCTCTTCCAACAACCTGAGAGGCGACTCTGCACATGGACATCACCAGTTGGACAACACCGAAATCAGAATGATTATATTATTTGCAGTCAAAGATGGAAAAGCTCTATTTGTTGTTGTTGTTGTTCAGTCGCACAGTCGAGTCCAACTCTTCGCGACCCCATGGACCAGATCACGCCAGGCCTTCCGGTCTTCAAGTCAGTAAAACCAAGACCTGGAGCTGACTGTGGCTCAGATCATGAGCTACTCATTGCAAAATTCAGGCTTAAACTGAAGAAGGTTGGGAAAACCACTAGGCCATTCAGGTTTGACCTAGATCACATCCCTGATGAATATACAGTGGAGGTGAAGAATAGGTTTAAGGGACTAGATTAGATAGACAGAGTGCCTGAATAACTATGGACGGAGGTTCGTGACATTGTACAGGAGGCAGCAATAAGCACCATCCCAAAGAAAAAGAAATGCAAGAAAGCAAAGTGGCTGTCTGATGAGGCTTTACAAATAGCAGAGGAAAGAAGGAAAGCAAAAGGCAAAGGTGAAAAGGAAAGATTTACCCAACTGAATGCAGACTTCCAGAGAACTGCAAGGAGTAATAAGGAGGCCTTCCTGAATGAACAATGCAAAGTAATACAGGAAAACAATAGAATGGGAAGGACTAGAGATCTCTTCAAGAAAATTAGAAATCAAGGGAATGTTCCGTGCAAAGCTGTGCAAAGAACAGAAACGGTAGGGACCTAACAAAAGCAAAAGAGATTAGGAAGAGATGGCAAGAATACACAGAAGAACTATACAAGAAGGACCTCGATGTCCCTGACAACCACAACGGTGTGATCACTGACCTCGAGCCAGACATCCTGGAGTACGAAGTCAAATGGGCCTTAGAAAGCATTACTAACAACAAAGCTAGCGGAGGTGATGGTATCCCATCTGAGCTATTCAAAGTCTTAAAAGATTATGCTGTTAGTGCTGCACTCAATATGCCAGCAAATTTGGAAAACACAACAGTGGCCACAGGATTTGAAAAGGTCAGTTTACATTCCAATCCCAAAGAGGGGAATGTTCAAACTATCGCACAATTGCACTCATTTCACATGCTAGTGAAGTCATGCTCAAGATCCTACAAGCTAGGCTTCAGCAACATGTGGATAGAGAACTGCCAGAAGTACAAGCTGGGTTTCGAAGATCAAATTGCCAACATTCGCTGGATTATGGAGAAAGCAAAATGGTACCAGAAAAACATCGACTTCTGCTTCATTGACTATGCTAAAGCCTTTGATTGTGTGGATGACAACAAACTGTGGCAAGTCCTTAAAGAGATGGGAGTACTAGACCACCTCACATGTCTCTTGAGAAACCTGTATAAGGGTCAAGAAGGTGACAGTTAGAACCGGATATGGAAGAACTGATCAGTTTAGCATAGGAAAAGAAGTACAACAAGGGTGTATATTGTCACTCTGCTTATTTAATTTATATGCAGAGTGCATCATACGAAATGCCGACCTGAATGAATCACAAGCCAGAATTAAGATTGCTGGGGAAAAGATCAACAACCTCAGATATGCAGACGATACCACTTTAATTGCAGAAAGTGAAGAGAAACTAAAGAGCCTCTTGCTCAGGGTAAAAGAGGAGAGCGCAAAAGTTGGCTTGAAACTCAACATCAAAAAAACTAAGATCATAGCATATGGCCCCATCACTCCTTGGCAAATAGAAGGGGAAGTCAGGGAAGCAGTGACAGACTTCACGTTCCTGGGATCCAATATCACTGCAGACAGTGACTGCAGCCGTGAAATTAAGAGACACCTGTGCCTTGGGAGGAAAGCTATGGCAAACCTAGACAGTATAATTAAAAGCAGAGACATCACCCTGCCAACCAAAGTCCTGTCAGTCAAAGCAATGGTATTCCCAGTAGTAATGTATGGCTGCGAAAGTTGGACCATAAGGAAGGCCAAGTGCCGAAGAATAGATTATTTCGAATTATGGTGCTGGAGAAGAAACTTGAGAGTTTCTTGGACTGCAAGGAGATCAAATCAGTCAATCCTAAAAGAAATCAACCCTGTTCCCTGGAAGGCCAGATACTGAAGCTGAAGCTCAAATACTTTGGCCACCAAATGAGAAGGGAGAACTCACTGAAGAAGACCCTGATGCTGGGAAAGATTGAAGGTCAAAGAAGAAGGGGACAGCAAAAGATGAGATGGTTAGACAGTGTTATTGATGGAACGAACATGAAATTAAGCAAACTGGAGGACGGTGGAAGAACAGAGGGCCTGGCGTGATGTGGTCCATGGGGTCACAAAGAGTCGGATTCGACTGTGCGACTGAACAACAACAACAAACATATGGGAGAATGGAGATTCAGGGCAGGAAGATGCCTACGTTTGTGGCTATACAAGGACTGGATCCAAGGGATCCACTCAAGCCCTGTAGGCTGGACCATACTAGTTCCCTTTCATAAACAATTTCAGGACAGAGTCACTGAAGGAGAGTTCAGAGGAGATGGACACCTTTTTCAACAAGCCCAGAAATGTGTCACCCAAGAATATAATTATAGCCCAAGCAGCTTGAACAAATAGCTCCTGCACTGAAGAGCGGAGAGAAACACTGGAAAAATTGACATGGCACCACTGTCAATTAGCCCATAATAAATATGCAAAATCTTAGTTTGTCTGTCTGGGTGGAACTGCACAGGAGGACTGAATGCCCAGCAGCTCCCTTAAGTAACAGCTGAAACTGTGCCAAGCCACTGCTAATAGGCTTGAGGGGAACCACAGAGACAGTGGCTACAGGGCAAGGAAGTCATTTCTGAATGTTGAAGGCAATCTATCACCTGATGGGGAAAGGGCATAAGGAACACAGAGTGCTATGTGATCGCTACTGCTGAAGCTAGACAAGCAGCAGGCAGCACAGTGCCTCTTCTGAAAACCCAGTCTTAAAAGGAATTATTGACAGTCATTGAGCTTTTGGGTCTTGCAAACAGAAGGTGACACTGGTGAGAACAAACTGGTGAACTATGCTGGCCTCAGTCCTCGAGGAGTTGCAGTTTGGGATAGTAACTAAGGAACACAGAAGAAGGAAGGTCCGGTCCCTTGTGAGTTGGGGAAAGAGGGAAAGAACCTCAAAGACAAAAAAAAAGATGTACACAAAACAGCATTTTCTCCCCTCAAAGGACACAATTATGTGCTTGCAAAACAAAAACTCTCTATTTGTGCTGCTTTTAGGTCACAACCAGCTGATCATTGTCCTATGAACAAGTAGTCCCACTCTCGCCACTGTGCACCTCCACAAAGCAGACTAGGAGAACAAGCATAATAACTATGGCTGTCGAGGGGCAGCATGGATGGGAGATCAGGGTGGAGCTTCTCAATCTGAGGCACACTTGGCAGCTCTGCTGTGCGACTTTCTCTCCTTACCGTCCCACCACCAAATTGTTAGCATGGCATACCTTGTCATTGTTCCGCAGAATTAGTGGCACTTCATAGATTTCACAAGGGGCGAAGTTCTGGAAAATCACTTCCGATGGGAACGGCTGAAACAGCGTCTGGTCCAGATCAACTGAAGAGAACTGAAGGGATAAAAGAGGGTATGCGAGTGCCAGGGGCAATAACAGATCAAGTAAATCTTTGGGGGGGGCACACAGGGATCCTTAGGAGAGTATATAGTTGCAGGCCCTGCTGGGGTTACAGATGAATGGGTTGCATATGGTCTAAATGGAACTTCCCTACCTCCCCACTCCTGCTGCAGCCAGAAATCCTGCCCCTATGGAAAGGGGGACCCACAGTCATAGCTTGAGTGTGTGTGTGTGTGTGTGTGTGTGTGTGTGTGTGTGTGTGTGTGGAGGGGGGAATCAGACATCTGCCATGGATGGGGGACATTAGCAAAAATCACACATGAACACATTCTGTTTCCACCAGAATTCCAAAAAAGAACATCATGAGGATTAATTCTGCTCAATGTATAACTCATGTCCAGGACAAAATTACATCACAGCACATCACCACCAACCACTATCTCTGAATAGTAGGAACTTGTCACATGCAGAAGCAAGATAAATGGGGGGGGGGAGTGGAGGACAGAGAAATTATGGGGAAACATTCCTCAGAGAAGAAGGCAAAGGCAAATAAAAAGTGTGATTAAACACTGAACACAAAGTCCCCCTTTTTCCGATAGAAGCATGTCTAAAACTAAAACTGCAACTGAATTCGATGAAGACGGAGGTCCTATGCCTGAATCGGAGTGGTACGGGGTTAGGGGTCCCTCTTCCGGCCTTCAGTGGGGCACCATTGGTGCCAGCTCCAAGGGTCAGGAGTTTGGGAGTGCTCCTGGATGCTTCCCTGACAATGGAGGCCCAGGTAGCAGCCACTGCCAAGGCAGCCTTTTACCACCTGCGGCTGATTAGGCAGTTGGTCCCCTTCCTCGAACGCAACGATCTGACATTACTGATCCATGCTATGGTCACCTCGAGGCTGGATTACTGCAATGCAATTACTGCAATTACCCTTGGGGCAACTCCGGAAGCTGCAGCTGGTGCAGAATGCCTCGGCCAGGTTGTTGATGGGTCTCCCCATGAGGGAACACATCCAACCTGTGCTGAGGTCGCTTCACTGGCTGCCAATAGCATTCCGGATACGCTTCAAGGTGCTGTTTTAGACCTTTAAAGCCCTTAATGGTCTGGGGCCTGTCTACCTGAGGGACCGCCTTTCCCCGTATGTTCCCCCGAGGGCACTGAGATCCGAGACAAAAAATCGCCTGGTCCCCCCTGGCTCTAGGGATGCTAAGTTAACAGCAACAAGAACCAGGGCGTTCTCCCTAGCTGCACCGACGCTATGGAACCAGCTCCCAAATGAAATTCGAGCTCTGCGGGATCTTCAACAATTCCGTAGAGCGGTGAAGACAAGCGTCCATACACTAAAGGAGTGCATTTTAGAACTTTGGCACCCACTATTCAATTATATATAAGGAGAGATGGCCGCCACATTCTAATTTTAATGTTGTATTTATTGTATTGTTTTGTATTGTTTTAGATGTGACAATCGGTATTAATTGTATACTGGTTTTAACCATTGTAAGCCGCCCTGAGCCACCTCGGCGGGAGGGCGGGGTAAAAGTCTAACAAATAAATAAATAAATAAATAAAAACATATTTCTGCATAAAAAGGAAAAGAAAGGTTCATTTAAAATTTTTAAGCATGTTGATTTTAGGCACCTCCTTCCTCTTAAGAACATAAGAACATAATTGAAGCCAATGGTCTGTCCAGACCAACACTCTGTGTTCACACAGGAGCCAAAACCCATGTGCCATCAGGAGAGCCACTCTTCTCCAATGTGGAATACCTTGGTTTGGATCCAGCCAATTTTCTTGCTCAGTCTTGGGCTAATTCCCCTCTTTATTACTGCATCCACCCCACATGGCTTTTGTTCGTGCAGGTCCCATGAGCTGCAGCATAGCCTTTTTTGTAGGGGAAGGGGAACCTCCTCCTCCCCTTTTCACCAATGGAAAAGGTCTTTTAGAGCTTCTCTTTTACAATGTTAAATTTATTTAAGGCAAGGTTTTAAAATATTGTTTTAGCTTTCTTCTTTTCTCAAAAAGCTTTTTATTAATTGTTTAATATGTACAGATCTGTCTCAACTACTGGATAACTACAGTTCCTGTATGGTGTAGATATGTACAACTCTCAATGCCCCTTGCCTGCTTCAGATTCCTACATCATCTGCAGCATACAAAGCCAAGAGGTCTAGATCTAGAAATATACACAGAAAATAAAGAAGAATCGATGGTGATAAACAAAAAAGGTCAGAACTGGAAATGCCAGTCGTTGAAGGATATACTATTTATTGTTTGAATTATATGATGTGATATTGGTTTGATGTGACGAAAGGCCAATTTGCATGTTACAAAGCCCACGTGTCTCCCATATGGACTTTCAACAGACATGTTCTAAGAATTCCCATCTAATCATAAGAGTCCCGCTTCTGAATTTTCATGCTGCAACAGATTGTGACTAGAACCACTTTAGGAACTAATGCTGAATAAATAACTGACTTATGTCACCTTGAATATTAACCAACATACAATGGGATATGTTCTGGCCAGCAGAGCACGTTTTGTCAAATGTCAAACTACCCACGTGAGAGGCAGAAATTCCACAGGCAAACCTTTCCCTGGCATAGATGTGCAGGGACAGGAAAACACTTCTTGTTGACTTTCTGGTTGTACTGGAGCCAGTTTGGTGTAGTGGTTAAGTGTGCGGACTCTAATCTGGGAGAACCGGGTTTGATTCCCCACTCCTCCACTTGCACCTGCTGATGTGACCTTGGGTCAGTCACAAGCTCTGGCACAGCTGTCCTTGAAAAAGCAGTTTGTGTCAGAGTTCTCTCAGCCCCACCCACCTCACAGGGTGTCTGTTGTGGGGAGGGGAAGGGAAAGGAATTTGTAAGCCGCTCTGAGACACCTTTGAGTAGTGAAGGGCAGGGTATAAATCCAATCTCTTCTTCTTCTTCTCTTATATAGCTACTGAACCTATACCTTATTTTGACCTAAATAAGTGTACAGCACTGTTCCCCTCTCCTCCATTTTACCCCTAACAACAACAACTCTGTGAGGTAGGTTGGGCTGAGAGAGAGTGACTGGCCCAAGGTCATCCGAAGCACTTCCACAGTCCAATAGGGATATGTTCCCCAGATCCCTGTCCAACACTCTAACCTAGGGGTATCGAACGCATTTGTTATGAGGGCTAGATCTGACATAAATGAGACTTTGTTGGGCCGTGCCATATGTGTCATAAACTGTAATGCCAGGTAGCGGAGATATAAACTTTATAAAGGACACAAACACAAAGATTTTTTTAAAACTTAAAATAAAAACATGCTCAAAACATTAGCTCTGTCAGCTGCAAACCTACTTTTGATTTATTGACATTCACCACAGAAATCTCATGCTCAGAGTTCTGAGTCTAGGACCCAGGTTAAAACATGAAATGGCTGAGTGAGTCTGGCGAAGCAAGCTGTGATGCAGCAGCAGCAGCAGCAGCAGCAGAACTGGAAGCAGGAGATGGCCAGCTCCACTGTGGGCCTGATGGAAGCTCTCCGGGGGCCTGATCCGGCCCCCGGGCCGCATGTTTGACAGCCTTGCTCTAACCTCTATCTCACACTTGCTTTTTTAAAACTGAGAAGCCCTGGCCAAAAGGGTAGAGAGGCAACCCTTGAACTTGTGTTAGATCATACGTCCAGGCTCTCAAAAGGCCCAAGCTGCACTAGAGGTGAGACTGAACCTGGAATGTCTTGGGTTTGTCTGCTTCCTCTCCCTATTCTCCACTGGTGGCACATCATGGACAAAGCTGTGGTTTAGAATACTGTTTTGTAGGCTAGAGAGCAAAACCCAGCTTATCTCTAAATCAGGTGAAACATCAACAGACCTCAGGAAATCTTCAATGTCCTTGTCATGCAGGAGCAGAGGAGGAAACATGCAGGCCTGGGTGTTTCATGGCTCTTTTGTAACAGATGAATGCAGTTCTAGAGTGTTTACACACACTAGGTAATGTTCCACCAGACTCTGTCACTGGTTTTTAAAGCAGTGAGACCACCACTGTGAAAAGGGACAGCGGTGGTGTCTGATCGGGTTTCTATATAATGAAAGCAACATTTGTTTAAACCGAAGTCTGACGGCATCTCAAAGACTGACAGAAATTATTCCAGGATAAACTTCTGTGACTTGGAGCTCACTTCCTCGGATGCATGAAATGTGCTCCATGTATCTAAAGAAATGAACTTTGAGATATGAGTAATAAAAGCTTATACTGATATAAATTTTGGGTATCTTCGAAGAGCTACTAGGCTTCTGGTTTTGATTGTGCTGTACGAAAGACCGACACGGCCACCCCCTGGAATCAGAACTCTTATTTTGTTGTTATTCAGCTCTGTAGCAGAGAAGCAAGAAGGAAGTGCTACCTTTTGGTGGGATGTTTCGCTCATGTCTAGAAGCTGGACAATGCGAGGGAGGCGCATCTCATGAGTGCTTGCAAGCTTCTGCTCTGTCGTGAGAGACATCTCTTTCAGGAAGGTAGACGGAGTCAGCTGCAATTCAGAATCAAGACCACATCAGTGCCTAGCGCCTACACTGAGAAAGGCTTTCTCTGGTAGAGCACATGGAAGTGCTCCCTGCTGCCATGAGACATCCAAACCACCACTAATTTCTCTGCTAGAACATTTCACATTCAGATACATCATTCAGAGAATTCCATTCAACATAAAAAGGTAGTAAAGGTTTCCCTTGCTCGAAAGCCAGTCAAATCCGACTTTAGGGGGCAGTGCTCATCTCTGTTTCCAAGTCGAAGAGCCAGCGCTGTCTGAAGACATTTCTGTGGTCAAATGGCCAGCATGACTAGATGCCGAGGCGCACGGAACACTGTTACCTTCCCACCGAAGTGGTACCTATTTATCTACTTACAGTTTCTTACTTTTGAACTGCTAAGTTGGCAGGTGCTGGGACCAGAGATGGGAGCTCACTCTGTCACGCGGTACTAGGGTCTTGAACGGCCAAGCTACCGACCTTCCAGTCTGCAGCTCAGCATCTTAACCATTGAGCCACTGCGGCCCCTTCCATTCAACATACATTACTGGAAATGGCATTTGCTTGTGGCTTTTTTCAGATGTTTGTATAACCTCTTCACCCAGCCCCATGCCTCCCCAACTCCACCATCACATGTTAACCAAGAGGAACAAGTAGGGTTGGCAGGTCCCCCCTGGGCCCTGGCAGGGGATGGGCGGGCAGGGGTGGTGGCTAGGGTTGCTAGCTCCAGGTTGGGAAACTTCTGAGGATTTAGGAGTCTGGGGAGGAGAGGACTCCAGTGGGATACAATGCCACAGAATCCACTCTCAAAAGCATCCATTTTCTCCAGGGGTGCTGATCTCTGTAGTTTGGAAATAAGCTGTAATTCTTGGGGATCCCCAGGTCCCACCTGAAGGCTGGCATCCCTAGGAACAAGCAATTAGGGGGGAAATTATTAAATCCCCCAGCATCATTACAGGGAAACTGGAGGTTCTGTAGGTCCTCTAGAAATGTATTGGTGTGTGTGTGGGAGGCAAAATAGGGAGGGGGGGAAACAAGCACATGCACAAATTTCCAACAGGTGAGCTGCACCCTGAAAGTCTTGGGCCCATCTGCTGCTTGGAGCTTTTTTTGCAGAGGAAGGGAAAGTGGGACACACATTTTACACCTACACCTATTAGCAAAAGCACACTCTGCTTGCTTCACTATTGGCTGCGGGCCCCAAAAATGTTAGTAATGGCCCTATGAGTAGGGTTGCCAACCTCCAGGTGGTAGCTGGAATCTGAGATTACAACTGATCTCCAAGCAAAAGAGATCGGTTCACCTGGAGAAAAAAGCTGCTTCGGAATGTGGAATCTATGACATTATACCCCACTGAAGTCCCTCCCCTCCCCAAACCCTGCCCTCCTCAGGCTCCACCCCCTAAAATCTCCAGGTATTTTCCAACCTACAGCTGACAACCCTACCTACGTGAGGGAAGACAGTCCAGTCCCCCCCACACACACACACACCGGGGGCCACACTAGTTTGGATCCTTCCGCTGAGAAAAGCAGCTCGCATCCTTGTCAAATCACAGCTAAAGCCAAAGGATTTGCAGAGCTCCATCTCCAGAATTAAAGGGTTGCTGTGCAAATTTACCAAAACATCAAGCCCCATAAGCCTTTTCCCCAAATTCCAAGTACACAGAGATTAACTAGTGTTGAGGACACACTTAGCATGTGCTTACTGCCTAAAAGGACTCCGTTCTCCAGTCAAAGTAGCATTGGCTTCTAGAAGCGATGGGCCCACTCAGCTGTATTTAAAAACTATCAAAAACCTAAAGGCATACCAAAGATTAAATTCAAGGGTTCTCCTAGGTAGGCTAAAGAGAGGCTGAAGATCCCCTCTTCAATACTGACAGGAGAAATCTTTTAGACTTGACAGCCACAAAAACCTTATCCCAGGCAGATGGTATCTCTGCCTCTCCAACAAGACCATCCTCCCATACCTCTCACTGTCCATCTACATATAATGGGATCACATTTGTATCAGAACATAAAAGACACCCTGTGGGATCAGACCAGTGGTCCATCTAGTCCAACAACCTGCTTCACACAAGATCCAACATGTTACCCTGGAGGGCAAACAAACAGGGCATTTAGCCCAAGGCCTCTATTGATGTTGCCTCCTAGGCACTGGGGATTCAGAGGTTTGCTGCCTTTGAATACAAAGGTCCCCTTTAATCATCATGAATCCAACTAATCCCTGTCTGCCTATTCTAGTGCTCTTCAACATCATCCACTGTTAGTTAATTTCACAATTTACAGCGCAATCCTAAATGGATTGAGAAGGGTATAGCTCTCCTTAGGACTGCACTGCCAAATACTTGTTGAGTGAAGAAATACTTCCTATTGTCCATCCTGAATTTATTGTCCATCACTACACTGATGGGCAAGTGAATTTTAAGCTGTTTAGGTTTCCCGCATCTATATTTAGAACATAAACCTTATGTGAGCTGGAATGTACACTGCGCATTATAGTATTCTGCTTTCTAACCCACATTAACACCATTCACAAGTAGCACCAAGGGTTATTTCTATAACCAGGCCAAGAGGAATCAAATGAGCTTAGCGCAAAGAAGCAAAGAAACGTACTGGAGCATCTTTCTTCTTTTCCTCTTTAATCAGCTTTGGATTGCGAGGTGCCACGACCTTGCTTTGAAATCCTTCAGGCAACTTGTAAGATTTCTGAATTCTGCCCGTTTGCATCTTTGATTAATCTGGCGGAGCCTCTGGAATAAGAAGAGAAGATTTTAAACAGCTGGAAGAAAAAAATTCTTGTAGGGTTGTCAAGGGGAGAGGACAAAATTATGGGAACCTGAGGCCAGGCAAAGCATGTGATTTGTCTGGGTTGGGTCTGGATGCCGTCAGGAAGGCTCAGAAGAAATATTTGTCTCATGGTGTCTTTTAACAGCCCTTAATTCCCTGAAATTCACAGTTCTTCCTGTGCTTAATTATCACCTGGCGAAGGGCTAAGAAAGACTGCAAAGTACATTCCTTGGAAAGGAGATCAATTGACACCCTGTGCAAAAGCTGTTAAAAAAAAAGCAGCCTCAAGATCTAATAAGTGTTCATCTCTGGAAAGGCAAGGCCAGTGAGTTTACAGTCATAGCCAGCCTCCTTCTGTTTCACCCAGGTATCATCCTCTTCTGTGTGTGGTACTTTATAAGCTCACATCTCTCTTCAGACTGGACACCCTTCTGCCACCGCTGGTAATTTAAATTAGAATAGACAGCCAAGCCTCAAGAGGTGTGGTAGGCAACATTCTGCCCACCCACTCCCCAGCTGGCCCAGGAAGACCTTCTTATTCAAAAGAATTCATAAGTTAACTGCAGGCAGTTACTGTTGTCAGATGATGGCTGAATACTGGTTTCAGTGGAGTTCCGTGAACAAAAGATCTGGCTTGCGGTCCATCTAGTCCAGCATCCTGTCTCACACAGTGGCCAACCAGTTACTCTGGAGGGCCCACAACAGGGCATAGAGGCTGTGGCCGTCCCCTGATGTTACCTCTTGGCTCCGGGATTCAGAGGTTTACTACCTCTGAAGGTGAGGGTTCCCTTTAGTCACCATGTCTGGCAGTCACTGATAGACCTGTCCTCCATTAATCTGTCGAATCCCCTTTTAAAGATATTCATGTGTTGATCTATGGTTTTATTACTGATGTGCTTTCATTAATTTCCTGAGAGATGGGATTAAAATTTACTTTTTTAAAAAACAAAAGGTATAGTTAACAGATCTAGAAGGTTCTCCTTTCACGCTATGTACTGCTGACCATAAGGTGCCCAGCACCAGTGACCTATACAACTATGTTTAATATGTATTTGTGTTTGCTGTACATATTATCCTGCCCTCACTGCATTATAGGGCTGCCAAGTGGGGGCGGGTGGCGGGTAAACCCCCGCTTTGGAGGCCCGATTTCCGCCGCCGCGGAATCAGGCCCTGGGGGGAACTCCGCCCCCCCTGAAGCGCAGCATGGCTGCGTCACCAGAGGTGACACAACCACCTTGATCATGTTGGGGGCGTGGCCCAGATCGTCGGAGGGAAAACTCTATGGTTTTCCCTCCGACAATCGGAGCCACACCCTCAACGTGGTAGACGTCGCACATCACTTCCGGTGATGTGCTGGCGGCGCACACGCGCGCATCCGGGGACAGCTCCCGGGGCCCGGCGACGCTCCCCCGCCGGTGAGTTTTTTGGACTTGGCAACCCTACTGCATTATTTTATACTTATGTAATACTATTTTCCACATTGTGTAACATATCATACCTAATATGTTATGCTTTGTTTAATTTTTCTGTAGTCCTAGTCCTTTTGCATTGCCTATGAGATGTCTCATCTTACTGATTACATTGATTTGCACTATGTAATCCACATGTGGTCTCAGTGAGAAAGGCAGACGAGAATTAAATACATTTTAAAAAAGTAAACAGCAAACTGAACGTTTTTTAAAAGTAAACAGAGTATTCAGTTCCCAAATTTATCTATATGTATACCTCCCTCTCAAGTAAAGCTTTTCAAGGTGGTTCCCAATTAACTGATGCATCTGTTCTCCAAGGAAGTAATGGGACTAACAGCCTGTTTTCAGAGCTAATTCAATATCTATTCATGGGCTGCAAAACTGTTGAGCACACAGGAGTGCTTCCAGGCACAAAACTGTAAGAGTTACTAAAAAAAATGTTTTAACAGAAAATGAGGAGCATCTATTAATCCCTTAAACCAAATATTCTTTATAAACCGGAATATTAACAGCAACTCAAAGCTGAAATTAAACAACATTAAATAATGTGATTGAACTGCCAAATTGCACAGTGGGTTTATTTATTTTATTTCATTTATACCCCGCCCTCCCCGCACACAGGCTCAGGGGGGTTTACACAGGTTTTCAAGGCTTTTCTCAATTTTTCTTCCCAGAGTCCATCCAGTGCACAATGTGTTGCTTTCCTTCCACTCTCTAGATAAATTATGACTCCAGAACTGAATATGGTGACTCAGCACTCCATCTTTCTTGGGTTCTTTGGACTAGTAAGAATAGGGTTGCCAAAAATGTCTTGCCCCTTTAAAAGAGGCTTAATGTGGAGAATGGGCAGCAGAAGCGTTTCATAGCACAGTGGTCAATAATGTCACCTGGTAAATAACATTCCATTAAGCTTCTGTTCAATACGTAGAACATTTTTTCCTCCAGTTGCTGACAACCCTAAGTAAGGATTGGCACAGGTGTAGGCACCAGCAAGGCCCAGGACTCCCAGCAAGCATCTAGTAATGGCTTACCTGCTGAAGGCTACCCCTGCCTTCCCAGAGATGCCACCTAGCAGCATTACAACTACACCCTGTAAATTCTCAGGCTCAGAACTTGCCCTTCAATCCTAGCAATGTGCCCCAAAGAAAAAGAACCTGCCAGAGTGTGTGGCATGCTTCTCCACACTGGGCTTAGGTGATAGGGTGGGAAACCCCAAGATGTTCTCCTCTCAGAGGGAGAACAGGCCTCCACCAAAGGGCCACCGACCTTGGGGTTCTGCACTTTTCACCGCTTGAGACACACACACACACACACACACACCAGCAAATCTCAGCGTAAAGATCAAAACATTCCATATTGTGTTGTAGCTCCAGGAATCAGTATGCTTGAATGTCCTCGAAGCATCTTTACAGTGCTTAGCAAGGAAAAACCAGCTCAGCTGCAGGATGCTGGGTGCTGGCCTTGCAAGAACTGTTTCACTCGCTTCACCCCCAGCCCGACCAAAAGACAATGCAGCCACATGGAAGAATTTAGCATCTCTCTTTCCATGCCTAGTGCTTCTCCTACTAATAGTCCGGAGCAATGCAAACCTGTTTTTTTAACATGAGGAACGATAGTGCTTATTTGTCATGGACACTCAGCACGCCTAAATATTTCATCTACAGTTGTAAAATCCAGAGCGAGCATGATGGAATAAAAAACAGCCCAAAGGATGCAGGGAGTATAAGCTTCCATCTTATTATTTCATTTGTTTATAATCCATTCTTCTTGCCACTTGGGATCCAAGTGGCTTACATCTTTCTTCTTCATTTTATGGTAACAACCCTGTGAGGTATTGTTATGCTAAGAGAAAGTGACTTGACTTAAGATCACCCAGCAAACTGTGCAGAATGGTCATGGGGGACAGGAAATGGTGGCAACATGGTTGGGATTGAGGTAGATTCAGAGTTTCCCATCCACATGGCAGGCATCCAAGCTTCGGTGCAATTTTTCCAAAGAAGACAGAGATCGGTCTCTTGGAGAAAATAGCAGCTTCAGAGGGCAGACTCCATGGTATAGCATAGCATCTAGGAGAAACGGAAGTCCCTCCCCAGGTACTACCCCCAAATCTCCAGAAATGTCCCGACTCAGAGCCAACATCCAGGTCACAGTACTGCTAACAGTCAGCGATGGCCACTGTCCTTTTTAAGGCCTTCTTTCCTTCTGAATCTATTTACAACACGGAGGGCTGTACAAAGCAGCAAGCAGGCGTGAAACTAGAAAGAGCAGCACACTTTTGCAACTTGTACACAGTGTCCACCAGAAAGCAGACCTAGGGGCAACTTTTATGCTCACGTAGCACTTTAGACTCTCACGGCTGCCAACTCCAAGTTTGGAAATAACTGGAAATTTAAGGGTGGGGTTTGGGAGAGTGGAGTTTAGGGAGGGGAGGGACCTTGGTAGGATACACTGTCATGCAGTCTGCCTTCCAAAGCAGCCATTTGCTCCAGGAGAAGAGGAATAAATGTTTAAAATAAGTAAGCAATTTATAGCCCCGGTCACACGGCAAAGTTGCCACGGGAGAGGCACGGATGGTGGGCGGATTATCCGGGCGCGATCACACCCCAACATCTGGGAAGTGGAGGGAACCCATTGCTTACCGCCGACAATGCGAGTTAAAAAACGAGTACCTCCAAGGTACTAGTAAATGTTTGCCATGGGCTGCCTCCAGATGCCCGTGGTGTGATCGTGCTGGCGCGTGGCATTCCCCTCCGGTCCCTCGTTTACCCACAGGCGCCGAGGGAAGGACCAGTGGTGTGCTGCCGGCGCATCTGATCGCGTAATCGCAGATCAAAGTGGGGGGATGTACGCCCCCCCCCCCCCCCCCCCCCGCAATATCTGGCTCATGTGACCGGGGCTTATGTAGTCCAGAGAGCAGTTGTTATTCCAGGAGATCTCCAGCCCCCATCTGGAGGTAGGCAACCCTAGTCCTGGGCCCCTGGAGGATCAAGCAACCCCAGAGAGGAGCAAGTCATGACTGAACACTTACTTGGTGGGGCGCTTTCACCTCCTGCTGCTACCCCACAAGCTCCAACAGACACACGGGTTCCCTTTCCTCTGTCAGCCAGCTGCTGTTTCCCTGGTTCCCATAGCAACTAGGCCTTCCCTCTAAGAAGGAGGCAGACACAGAACTTTGGCTGTAGGCCCGTCAGCTCCATGGCAACCACTGGGTCGCTTGCCAGCACAGCCATGCCCCAGAGAGACGGGGTGGTGGAGAGGGGGGGGGGAAACAGAGGCTTCTGACGGTTACATGGGGCCTTTCTCTTTTGACATTAGTTTGCAAGGCAGCATACAAGACAAAACAGGGAATACCTCTTTAAGAGAGAGTTGTAATATTTTTTTTTAAGAGAGTTGTAATACTTCAACAGTGACACCTTTTCCTGCTCCATTCAGGTAAGGATGTTCTTGTTCTTCACAATAAAAGCATTAAAC